AGGAGGTAAAGTGTTAATGTTGTTATTTTTACAGCAGAACTCTGAATGCAAAGTCCAGTGGTCTATATAAGGAAATGAATATGGTTCGTAAAGTGAATTACCTTCAGATCACAGGAAGAAGAATCAGTTGTGTCACAATAACATATGAGATAATATCAAGAAGGAGCAAGTATGTCAGGTAGTAAAAACAATGGAGGATAAAGAACAGACAGGAAATTCAGAATTGAAACTCCTACTATCAATTAGTCAACACAGAAATACTGGGACAGTTAGATACTATATTCTTGTATTTAAAGGACAACAGATAGAATTAGTGTTAGCCAGGCAAGATGTGGATGAAGGGGAATCTGCACCAATAAAGATAATATCCTTATCACTTAATTCTGTGAAAACATAAGATTCAATATATGCTAGAAAATTACTTGATTGAAGCTAGTCAAAACAGGTGAAGTTCTTTAGCAGTATTTGTTTTGAAATCCAATGAGTTGACTAGATTCTGCATAGATTACAATTAAGTAAATGCTGTAATGAAAACAGATTTATACCCAATTCCTCAGCAAGAATACTGTTTTGATAGGGTTGAGAACTGCCTCAATCCTTACTGAGATGGAGTTATTGAGGGGATATTGACATCTGGAGCACAGGAGCCATCTGTTTTTCTTGCACTAAATGAGTTATACCAATGACAGTACCATTCACATTTAAAATGCTCCAGCTACTTTCCAAAGACTTATGAACCAGATTATAACTCGTTCTTACTTGTGTCATTTACTTGGATGAAGTATTGATTTACAGCAACATGTGAAGGACTTAGGAAACAATTAGAGGCCTTCTCACAAAGAACGTTCATTTGGCTAGAAAGGATATCATTGATGATGTAGAGTCATAGAGATGTACAGCACAGAAACAGACCCTTCTGGCCAACTCGTCCATGCCAACCAGATATCCTAGATATCTAGTCCCATTTGCCAGCATTTGGCTCATATCCCTCTTAACCCTTCCTGTTCATATACCTATCCAGATGCCCTATAGACATTGTAATTGTACCAGCCTCCACCACTTCCTCTGGCAGTTCATTCCATAGATGCATCGCCCTCGGCGTGAAGAAGTTGCCCCTTAGGTCCCTTTTAAATCTTTCCCCTCTCACCTTAAACCTGTGCCCTCTAGGCTTTGACTCCTCTACCCCGGGGAAAAGATCTTGTCTATTTACCCTATCCATGCCCCTCATGATTTCATAAGGTCACCCCTCAGCCTCTGATGCTCCAGAGATCATAGCCCCAGCCTATTCAGCATCTCCCCAAAGCTCAAACCCCCTAATCCTGGCAACATCCTTGTAATTCTTCTCTAAACACTTTTAAGTTTAACAACATCCTTCCTACATCAGGGAGACCAAAATATCACACAGTATTCCAAAAGTGGCTTAACCAATGTCCTGCACAGCCACAACATGACCTCCCAACTCCTATACTCAATGCACTGACCAATAAAAGCAAGCATACCAAATACCACCATCACTACCCTGTCTACCTGCGACTCCAAGGTCTCTTTGTTGAGCAACATTCCCCAGGACCTTACCATTAAATGTATAAGTCCTGCCCTGATTTGCCTTTACAAAATGGAGCACCTCAGATTTATTTAAATTAAACTTCATCTGCCACTCCACAGTCCACATTACAGAGGAAGTGCTGGATGGCTTAAAATGCATAAAGACGGATAAATCCCCAGGACCTCATCAGATGTACCCTGGAACACTAGGGAAGTGATCGCTGGGCCCCTAGCTGAGATATTTATATCATTGATAGCCACAGGTAAGGTGCCAGAAGATTGGAGGCTGTCTAACATGGTGCCACTATTTAAGAAAGGTGGTAAGGAAAAGCCAGGGGACTACAGACTGGTGAGCCTGACATCAGTGCTGGGCAAGTTGTTGGAGGGAATTCTCTGCGACAGGATTTACGTGTATTTGGAAAGGCAAGGATTAGGGATAGTCAATATGGTTTTGTGTGTGGGAAATCACGTGTCACTAACTTGGTTGAGTTTTTAAGTAGTAACAAAGAGGATTGATGAGGGCAGAGCAGTGGATGTGATCTACATGGACTTCAGTAAGGCATTGACAATGTTCCTTATAATAGACTGGTTAGCAAGGTTAGATCATGTGGAATACATGGAGAAATGGCTCAAAGGTAGAAGGCAGAAGGGGGTGGTGGAGGATTGCTTTTCAGACTGGAGGCCTCTGACCAGAGGTGTGCAACAAGGATCAGTGCTGGGTCCATTGCCTTTTGTCATTTATATAAAATAAATGTACTATCAAGAATGTAACGATGTGGAATAGTTTCGAGGTTAAGAAAATGACAAGAAACTGTATAAATTCCATAAACCAAATGAATGAAAATGAATGAAGTCTAAATTTAGGTGTCCTTATTTTGTACATGCTTTCATGTCTACATTGGAATGCACTTGGAAATAATGTTGCATTTCCTAAGAGTGGAGGCATGTTACAAATTCACATTTATATTTATATTTAAGGACAATGTGAAAAGTTGGAAGATTGAGAATGATATGGACATTTTATGGATGGTAAAGGTTGTCTTATGGTATCAAGAAAAGCAGTCAACAGCCTAATGTGAACTGTAAGCCACCCCCCATTTACACAAAAAAAACAAGTGACTGGAGAAAAGACAAAGCTTTTATGTAACGGAGCTCATGGCATTTCAATGTTGGAAACTGTGATTTGAAAAAAATGAAACTAATGAGCCTCTATGCTAATAGTTACTTAACAAACCTAACAGGACTTTGTTATCTGTTTGAATTTTCTTCTGAATGGTAGCTATTGGGAACCTGATATTTAGAAACATCAGTATGTCGACAACCTTGGTAAAGCCTGAAAAGCTAGACCGTCACCACTTTCCAAAGACTTGGATCCAGGTTGATTGTGATCAGAACTGAGTTCTTTTGTTAGTCTACAGCTGTCAGCAATTTGATTTCATCAAAAGGAAACCTGATGGACCATAAGAAATCATCACATTCCATCCATTATTTCCAGGCCCTTAGCCAACAGGCTTTCACCCTTTGCAAAAAAACACCAACCAACTCTGCAGAGGCTGTTGTCTTTTGCTGATGTATCAGTTGGCTTGTGTTTGGAACTAAATAGACCTAGTTCTAATTCTGTATTATTGCTTAGATAGTGACCAGTGTCAGATATTTGCTTCCAGAAAAAAGTATGCTTGTAATAAACAGGTTATTGAGTTAAAGGCAGCTGATACACAGTTCTTTTATTTTGGATAATAGTGTAGAAAAAGTAGTAACTGGCAAATTTTGGTGACTAAATCAACACATTAATACTAATGGTGCAACAAGTGGAGTACAGGAGATGATTATCTGACCTTCCATTTGATCCAGTCCTGATAGCAAGGTAACTTATTGTTATCCTTGTAACTCCTGTAAGTCAATTTTATTTCTTTTATTAATTGGAGACCATCCTTGTTTTCCAATATCCAACAAAAGAAAAGCAAAGACTGATCTGTGTTTATGGCACATGTTGCATGACTTCAGAGAATCTCAAAGTAATTTACTGTCAATCAAATACTTTTAACAACGTGGTCATTAATGTAATGCAGGAGATGCAAAGATCAGATCTTATGTGTCTTGATGTTTCAAATTCTCACAAACAATATTCTGGAAGTGACATCCAAATGCAATGTAAATCAATTGAATTTTTAATAGGACACAGAAGGAACAGAAGTTGTCTTGACATCATTAAATGCAAAAAGGCCTTTGCCCTCTAGTCATGGACAAAAATCACTCAAGTTAAGGTGTCTTTCTACAAATTGCCACTAACCTTAGAGAGCAAAGATGATCTTATTTGGATTGTTCCAGCCTCCAAGTACAAAATTTGACCTCACCTGAAAGGTGTTCGAGAGACCGCAGTTGACTTCTGGATCTTCATTGAGTCATGTTGAGCAAGTCACCAATCTAAAAGCTTAGTGCCTTGAAGTGAAATGTCACCATTGGTGTGGGAGGTATAGTATTCATGTAATCTGTTTTTCTACTTGGAAGGCAGCTGTGGCAAAAGACTCCCAAGAGCAAAGCAGAAATGCTTGAGGGACATATCCTGAAGATATCAATCGTCCCTGCTAACTCATGGGAGTTCCTGGCTTGTGGCCAAGCGAAATGGAGAACATTTATTCCAAAAGGCACCAAACACATTAAGACACTTTGTCACAAATATACAGGGCCAAATTGAGGCATGGGAATGTGTGCACAAAGCCGTTAACAACTTATTTACCCAAACCTTCAAACACAACTAGCCTCACATATGGCAGAGTCTGCAAATGGTGCACTGGATTTACCTGAAAATCGGAATGGAAGCAAGTCATTCTTCATTCCAACAGACTACATAAGTTGATGATCTGGTTAGCAAGATTCTTCTACTGTTGGGGATATTCTCCAGAAAACATCTCACCATTAATGATGTGTACTAAAGTATAATGTGTTTAATTCTTCTCCAATTATTTCAAGGTAGGTCAGATCACTTTTTTTTAAAAATAGGTTTCTTGTGATATTTCCATTCCCTTGATTAGCAAGTGGTTTGCTTCACTTAGTTAACTCATTGTGACCTGAATTTGGCTTTTTATTGGGAACGTAACATAGATTGAACCACAAATGTTTTCTGGAATAAATTGGTAAAAATCTCAAGATGTCATCCTGGGTTTTCAGAAACAAAGAAAGGTACAGCGAGATGTGCTGGCTATTTTTAATAAATCTCTGACTGTGAGAGGTCAGGATGCATACATGACAGTAGAATTTTAGACAGAACTTTTAGATTGAACTTTTTTTTGTACTGAAAATCCCTCAAAGATCCAAATCCAACAAGCTGTTCTGCAGTATTTCTTGTTTCAATGAAAACTGAAAAGACAGGTATGTTCAAGATGTGTCATTTACTGCAATCAGTGATACCTCTGAACTGAAACGCATCTTTGGAAGATAACTTTTTAAAACAGTACTTTGAGAAAACAAAAAATCTTTATTAAATCTGAAATACACCAAATGTTTTACAAAAACAAGTAAAAGCTTCTGATGCATCTTAAGAAAAATATGGATCATGCAATAAAGCAGCGATAATGACAAGGATAATGCCTTTTAATGCATGTCATTAAAGGATATAATTGATGGAATTATACACTTTCCTATTACAGGCAAACATAACAATTATGGAATTTATAATGGCATGGAAACACAAAATTGTTTCCATTTTGAAAAAAAGCAAAATATTGACTTTCTTGCTGATTTAACCAAAACAGCATCAAAAGTTATGCGGAAAGCTGCTTAAAATCTTGCAGACTGAAAATAACTGATGTAAATGATTGCAATTAACTCAAGTTCTAAGTCATGCAGCATATCAAAAAAAGGATTAATTACAATTTTTAAAAAAATGAATCCACTTTTCATCACAATAAAAACATGTAAACATTGAGCCTCAACACATGTCAACAAGTTTTCAGAAAAAATTCTACTTTTTTTTTAAGCTGTAACCTGGCAAAGAACTTAAAATGGTAATGTCTGGACTAAAACAGAAGACTGTCTCTTCCAAGTTGCTGTGAAATATTTAACTGCTGCACATTTACATGCACAATTCAGTCACGTGCGCATGCAGATCAGTAAGTTGGCACATTTCCTTTCCTCATGGACATAAAAAGCTGTTAAGTTTTTGTAGGAAGTTAAAAAATCTCAGGAGCCTGTACTTTGCCATGACAGAATCCATCCAAAATGTTCAAATGATATTAATTATCCCATTATAGCAAGTGATATTTATAAATGTTTCCGTGTTTTTATTGAATCAATTTAAGCCACCAGGAACAAATATTAACTGTTTGGCCAGTAAACAATTCTTCTCAAACAGGTTCAAAGGACTAAGTGGCCTCTCCTGTTCCTTCTAACATTTGAATCTAAATTAAAGGTACAATTTACCAAGACAAAACCATTTTAAATTTAAATATAAAAGTATAAACAAAAAACGTTCAAGCATTTTGCTTATTTCTGCAAATAAAACAGAAAAAAAAAAATCAGTGAACAACTACAGAAGCCAGTGAGGTTATACCAGCAACAACCCACCACCTAAGAACCAGCAGCCCAACTTTACGAGCCATGGAAAAGGTGGACTGCACTGTAAACGGCATGGTTATAGCTCTGCTCAACTTTAACAGAGCTAGAATGTTCCATGAAGCTGTTGTTATCAGGAATGCTTTCGGCTGTGTCACCAAACCCGTGATAGTGGCCATATTGGAGCGGATCATAGTCTTCCAGGCTTCCGCTTCCGATTCCGTGGCAAGATGGCAACATTGGTTTGACTGCCACACAGCTGCTTGGGCTTCCGTTGTGGTGCAGCGAGCCGCACATTTCCGACAGGGGCTGGGTGCTCCCTGTGTTTTGCGTGGTTCCATTGGACTGAAAGCCACTTTTATTGCAAAGGATCTGGTTGGCGATGCTACCGAAGCCACTAGTCAATTCCGCAGCTCCTCCAATACAGGCATCACTCATTCTGTTCTCCTGAACCGAAGAGTAGCGCAAGCTATGGAAGGATCCATTTGTGACAGGTTGCATGGTCAACACTTTATCCATGTAGTTACAGTGATCCATATCTGTGGTGAGATGAACACCTATCATAGTATTGAAATAATTTCACGGTGTCATTTCAAACAACCAGCCCCTACTCTAATTGTGTCCTTTGGGTTGGGATTTGGTGCGGAGGTGGTGATAGGAGGAAAGAGTCAAGCCCCTTGCTGTTAACAAGAGTGTTTCATAATGGAGCAAAGAACTTGATGTATGAATACATACAGTTAGGCATATAGTAAGACTGAAAAGTCGACAATTTCTTTTTTGTTCATGGGATGAGAGAAATTCTGGCACGCTTTATTACCTGCCCTTAATTGCCTTACAGAAAGTGGCGAATTGTGAAGAACACACTCGAGGGTGAGACAATTGGAACCATGCCTTTTGGATTTACAAACACACCGAGTAATAATCTACATTTATGCAGTAAGTTTAACAGACACACGGGGGTGGAGTTGACTGTTCTCCTGAGGCCAGTTTAGTGGTGAGGCAGCATTTAAAAGTCGGACAGGAGGTGGGGGAACCCCTACTCACTCTGCCCTTATTACATCCATGGTGGGAAAGCCCAGGATGACCCCAACACCAATTGAAGACACTAAGTGACAACATTCCATTGCCTTCTCAACAGTGCTACCTGGATAACCGGAGCTCATTTTTAAATGACTGGCAGCTCTTGGCAGATGGACTTGCAGGCCCCAGTGTCCTTAATTCCAGGCTTAAGACATTGCTGCCCAGTTAAGTACCTGATTGGCACTTAATACAGCAGGCCTTGCCAAAATACTGCATTCAATTCTGGTCTCCCTGCTATAGGAAGGAAGTTGTTAAACTTGAAAGGGTTCAGAAAAGATTTACAAGCAGGTTGCCAGGGTTGGAGGGTTTGAGCTATAGGGAGAGGCTGAATAGGCTGGGGCTATTTTCCCTGGAGCGTCAGAGGCGGAGGGGTTTATAAAATCATGAGGGGCATGGCATAGCCAAGGTCTTTTCCCCAGGGTAGGAGTCCAAAACTAGAGGGCATATGTTTAAGATGAGAGGGGAAAAGATTTAGAAGGGACCTAAGGGGCAACTTTTTCACTCAGAGGGTGGTGTGTGTATGGAATGAACTGCCAGAGTAAGTGGTGGAGGTAGGTACAATTACAACATTAAAAAGGCATCTGGATGGGTATATGAATAGCAAGGGTTTGGAGGGATATGGGCCAAATGCTGGCAAATGGGACTAGATTAATTTAGAATGTTTGGTCAGGGTGGGCAAGTTGCACCAAAGGGTCTGTTCCCATGCTGTACAGCTCTATGATTCTATGAGATGACGGTGGTGGTGGAGGTGGGGGTGTGTGGGGTGGTGGAATGATGGGGCGGTGGGGGTCATTGTACCAACCTTGCTTCAAATGCTGATTTTGAATTGTTTTCCTTTCACAGAAGTGGGCAAACAAGCAGATAGGGAGGGGGGATTGGGGACTAGGGTTTGAGAATGAGTGTTTGGGAGAGGCGTTTGGATAGGGGACAAGGGAATAGGCAGAGGGGACCAGACGTGAGCTTGGGAGAAGACCTGGGAGGAGAGGAGGGAACAACAGGGGCTTCGTGAGGTGGGTGATGGGCTCAATTGGCTAAAGACCATGTCATTAACAGTGGCAGTAGATGTACACAAGTCAGTATACGCGGCCTGCAGGATTCCAGCAAGGATATAAGGCTGGATCATTTTTCAGGGATAGGCTCATTAAGACTATCAGTGATTATGGAGAATTCAATGTATAAAACAACAACAAAAAAATAAATCACAAATTCAATCACTGTTTAGGACAGATGAAAAACATGGTAGAAAAATACTAATCAGCATGAACCTTTTAGTGGCACCTAAATTTGACCATAAAAACAAAACCATCCCTTTTCTAGCTTCTCTGTCTTTGTACCAACATCCTGATTATTAACAGGCTCTAGCTACTAGATCCTGACACCAAGAAATTAGATATACAAGTTCTAAACTCTAATCTTGTTGTTTTAAGTTCACTAGATTTTGAAATGGAACTCACGCTACTTGGCTTTCCCATTCCATCAACAGATGGATAAATAGAATACCAGTGCCTGCAGAACAAGCATGAGCTGAATGTCCAAAGTAGTCACAAGCTGTGTTTCACAAGACAGCAGCTGGGGAGATTGCCCTTTCCCATCTGCACTAGTGATGGAAATAATGACTCACCAGTCTTGGAAAAGCGTTTAGGTACTACAAAGCATAACCTGGGAGTGATAAACTGCCTAAAGTGGTCTAATCGGCTGCTATTTTGACTCATTTCACAGTTCATTTGTTTCAGCTATATTTCCACACCACAGTAGGCAAAATGGAACTGCCTGAAACTGTAAGGCTCAAGATTCAGTTAAACGGTTGAAAAGAACTGAAAATAATTATTAAAGGCTTTCCTAATTTGCCCTCAGAGGACACTTTAAAACAATACAAATTCAAGCAGTATTACTGCTTATTAGCAATTTATTTTGGTTCCCTGGAAATTTGTGATTTGAAGTAACTTTAATCTAAGTCTGGCTGTATGGTGTTTTCCTATCAGCAAAAGTGATCAGGAACATGATGTGAATACCATCATCCATTATAAAATATCATCATGAACTCCTGTGGCACGTTATTTATTCCACATACAAGCTTTTCTCACTTGCTAAGCACAGATAGCTTTACCTGGAAGAAAGTTAAAACTCTAATGATCAGCAAAATCTTTTGGGTGACCCCTCAGCAAATACTCAGACAAGCTAAACTCAACTAATACCATCTTGTTCCTTATTGGATATTCAATAAAATCGTGATGCACCACCAATACAGTAACAAGAGGTGGACCACACCCTGCATTTAATTAGCATCTTTAGCAAAACAAACAAGTTCCAACCTACTTATACAGCAAAATAAGGAAGTAGAATTATGCAGTTAAAAGAAATGATAGGATAGAATTTTGAACAAAAGCTGGTAGGGAGAGGTACAGAGGCAGAAGAGTTTAACGATTGAATTCCAGAAGTTATATGAGAAAAAAATATGCAACTTTGTGTGATACAGTTCCAGAATGTCAATTGCGATTGTATCTAAAGGAACCATCTCCCAAACTGTGTGAGCTGCACGGTTATCCAGTGAGTTTCCAGACAGACAGCATTTAAAGCAGATATTTTGTACAGTTCAGGTCACTGTGCTATGGGAAAGATATTATTAAACTGGAGAGAAAAAAAATAGCAGGATGTTGTTGGACTGGAGGGTTTGAGTTAGAAGGACAGGCCGAATAGTCTGGGACTGTTTTCACTGGAGTGAGAGGGGTTGGGGGTGACCTTGTAGAGGTTTATAAAGTCATGAGGGGCATAGATAATTAGAATCATAGAATCCCTATAGTGTGGAAACAGGCCCTTCAGCCCAACAAGTCCACACCAACCCCTTAGAGCATCCCACCCTGACCCATCCCCGTATAATCCACCTAATCTACACATCCCTGAACACTACGGGCAATTTAGCATGGCCAATCCACCCAACCTGCAAATTTTTGGATTGAGAGAGGAAACTGGAGCGCCCAGAGGAAACCCACACAGACACGGGGAGAATGTGCAAACTCCACACAGACAGTCACCCGAGGGTGGAATTGAACCCAGGTCCCTGGTGCTGTGAGGCAGCAATGCTAACCACTGTGCCACCCCATAAGGTGAATAACAAAGGTTCTTTTCCTAGGGTGGATGAGTTCAAAACCAGGGGACATATTTTTAAGGTCAGAGGCAAAAGATTTAAAAAGGGACCTGAGGGGCAACCTTTTCACACAGAGGGTGGTTTGTAAGTGGAATGATCTGTCAGAGAAGTGATAGCTGCAAGTTCAGCTACAACATTTAAAACCTTTGGATAAGTTCATGAATAGGAAAGGTTTAGAGGGATATGGTCCAAATGCAGGCAAGTGGGACTAGTTTAGTTTGGGAAACTTGGTCGGCATGGACGAGATAGACCTAACAGTCTTTTTCCATGCTATATGACTCTATGTTGGTACCTAATTGTCAAACGTTCTGCTGCCTTTTCAGAGGCAAAGGAGGTAGTTGAGAATGCAATGGAATGTGTGGTGTTGGGCGGATTGAAGATTGAGGTGAGGAAATGGAGAAATTAAAACAGAAGGTCGAGAATATTAAATGCTTGAACATGGGGTAGTAGGGCAGGGTTGTAATACCACACATGATGAACATATGGGATTGGGCTATAAGCAGCAGAAGTTTGGTATGTTTATCTTTGCATGAGTTTTTCCTTGAGCCAATGAAAATTATAATCTTACATATTGGAAACAACAGTTTGCTCTCTTAAATAAATGGCCCAAAGTGCTTAACAAATGCATTATCAACAAAAAAAGTGATATGGCACATTCGAGTCACAGGAAGAACCATTAGGACAGATGAACAAAAGCAGTATTTGGAAAAAAAAAGGGGTGGGGAAGTTTAGGGAGGAAATTTCAGAGGCAAGGATCAAGGAACCTGAAAACAAGGCTACCAGCGTTGGATGGATTAAAGACAGAATTACACAAGAGGCCAGAATTAGACAGGCTTTTAAAGATAGGGAACAGTGAGGTGATAAAGGGCTTTGAAGATAAATCTGCACAGAATATCAAATGGAGCTATCTTCTGAAAGATATGGTTTCTCCATATTTTTGTACAAGTGAACGCACAGGAGTCAAAGAACCCTCTCAGTGAGTGTGTGGTATGATAGCAAAGCACATTGGGAGAGAACACTGGGCTTCTTCCTTTAACTTCCCACATTATAAATTCAGATTGTGACTGCAGCTCTTTTACTCCACTCCAGGTGGACAGGAAAAAGCACCAAAACCCCATAAGTTCTATCACCCAGGCTTGTAACTAACAGGTTAATGACACATCAACCATAGATGAGGAATCAGAACCCGAGCTCTTTCTCTGGCTGGGAGCAGTGAGCAGTATTGGAGGGAAGAGAGAAAGAAGAATAAAAAACCAAATTAGTAGAATTAACATGTTAGATATTAAGATTTCTTTATTGTTGCAAGCGTGCGCA